AAATGATAATAAACTTCTAAAATACTATTTTAAATAATGTTTCAACAAGCTAACTTATATCTGTTTTTTAAAAAAATATAATTTATATTTTTGAAAAGAATACCATTAACAACTTTGATCAATGTCCCTCAAATTTTTTATTACTATATCTGTACTTTTATTGGAGCTACTCATCGTTACCTAATAGTTACTATATGATTTTTAAATATGTTATTTTTCCTAATATTTAATAAAAAAAATAAAAATAAGTAAAATAATCAAAATACTTCTTATTTAATGGAATTTAATAAAAAAAAGATGATAATTGATCTGAGGGACAAAAACCGTGATATTTTTACAAACGTCATAATCAAACATAGAATAAAACTGACACAAGAGACAAAGAAATACATTAAAATTGACAAATGTTATAAAAAAAAAACAAGTAAATAATTTATTCCGCTAACTTTATAAAATAATATTGTTTTCTTGACTTTTGAACACTAGTGTGACATTTTTAATAATACAAAATAAGCTTGAATTTAATATTTATAAATACTTTTTTTTTGGTAAAAGATAATAAAATGAAAATATTTATTAAAATATGGAGGTTGGCATCAAAAGGCTGACGGCTGACCAATTTGCAGGCGATGTATGAAAGCATGAAATCAAGGGTGGAGAGGGTGGTGCAAAATGGCTGCATCCATATGGAGTCTGAATTCAGGGAGGCTTTCCGTAAATGGACTCCTGATTTCACCTCTCGAAATCATCCCACCGTCATCCAGGTATTCATATGTTCTCACTTCAAATCAAAACTTATCAAGTTGGGGAAAAATGGGATAAAAAATAAAAAACTGAGGAATACAATAATAACTATTTTATTTGTATGGTATGCATATAAATAATTTATCCGATATGTAGTAGAACACGAGATATATAATTGAGGGGGCCAAAACTAATCTTTTTTTATGGCGTCCATCATTCCAATACAAAAAAATTGGCTTTATACAACATTTGGAATATTATCTAAATGTCCTGATATGATACATTATAGATCTTAGTTTTATATGATCAAAATATAAAACGTCTTATCTAAAACCATTACAATAGGTTTATAGAACGTTTTTAGGCGTTTTAACAAGTTATTTAAGACGTTTTAAAATAAAGTGTCTTATTAGCTATTTTATCGGGCACTTGTTAGAAGCGTCTTATAAACCCATCATTTTGTAGAAAATTTGTGTTTACGTAACACCTTTTCAAATAGTGTCATATGAAATAGTTAATACGACACTTTACTATAAAACCGTCATAAAAAACTTGTTACAGTGCCTAAAAACATCATATGAACCTATTGTAACATTTTTAGATATGACTCTTTTTGGTTTGGTCTTATAATGTATTTTTATAGGACGCTTCTACATTCTAGGCGTCCTATAAAATTAATTTAGTTAGAGACTTTTATATAGTGATTATAGTAAGAAACTGATATATTGTTTTGATATTTTTAAATTGAATCTTCCTTAAAAGTGATTGTTCGTTTACCAAAATCAGTTACACTGTTTTAATCTTGTCTTCTGATCGAGCTTAATAATATATTTTATGGAATTTGATCTCAATCCGTTAATACATACTCTTCTAACCCATAAATTAACACGTTTTTAAAAATAAAGTGTTATATTAATTAACACGTTTTTAAAATAAAATGTCATATTAATTAACACATTTTTAAAATAAAGATGTATTATTAATTAACAAGTTTTTTTAAATAAAGTGTCCTATTATAGGACACTTTTGATAATTGTCTTATAAACCCATCTATTTATAGGATATTTGTGTTTATATAACACTTTTTCAAATACGCGTCCTATAAAATAGTTAATACTACATTTTATAAAATACCAAAAAACACCTAAAACGCCTAAAATGCCAAAAAAAAAAAAACTTCATATAAACCTATTGTAACAGTTTTAGATAGATCGTTTTTTTGTTTGATCATATAACTATCGTAAGTCCTATTAAGTATTTTTTTTAGAACGCTTCTATATTTTGGGCGTCCTATAAAATTGTTTTTTTAGTGATAATTGATATTTTATAACTCTTGATCTTTTATATTGGTTACTTCAATAGGTATGAAAAAAAAAAGCAAAACTTAGGTTCTCATTTTTTAAATACCAAGAGTGAAGGGGACATATTTCAATTTTTTTATAAAACTTGTTGTAGTATGCACAATATTACATTAAGGGAGGTGTTTGAGATTGCTTATTTGAAACAACTTATGTTTTTCTACAAAAGCATTTATCAACTTATTATAAGTTAGAAGAGTTTAACTTCTTTAGAAACTTCTTATTACCGGTTTGACACCGGTATAAGTTGTTTATCTGAACATTCAAAATTGTTTATTACCGGTGTCACAGCGTAATAAGTCAATAAGTTGTTTTTATAAGCAATCCCAAACACCCGTTAAGAGATCAAAATAGAAGGGAGGCGTTCCATATATAGCCCTTTAGAGAATCCGTCACTGCCGGTATGCAGACATGTACAGAAACCAAAGTACAGAAACCAAAGTTAATATATGAATACCTTCTGATTTCAGATATTGTTAGACAACAACGTAGACAAAGATAGTGCAGGTGGTGCCATGCCCAATCTCATCTATCTTTCTCGACAGAAAAGCAACAACAAACCTCATAACTTCAAGGCCGGAGCACTTAACGTCCTGGTAACCCCTGCCCTGCATCTCTTCAAATCTTATATCCTTTATACCCACCAATCATTAAGCCAATTCTTTATATACAAAGCTTTAAATTTAGCCATTAGTTTTGGTTTCATTCTGCTTTCTTTCGTATTGCAGCTACGAGTGTCGGGCGTGATGACTAACTCCCCGATTGTCCTACTCCTAGACTGCGATATGTACTCGAACGACCCGCAAACGCCACTTCGTGCATTATGTTATTTTATGGATCCGAATGCCGATCCAAAGCTTGGATTTGTTCAATTTCCTCAAAGATTCGATGGCATCAATAAGAACGACATTTACGCTTCCGAGTTCAAGCACGAGACACAAATTCTAAGTCTCGGCATGGATGGCTTGAGAGGTGCTCCATTTATGGGCACCGGAGGATTTTTCAAGCGACATGTTATTAGCATGAGAATCGATTCGAAGCCAGTAAAGATTAGTGAAGATGTTTTGGCTGCGGCATACCAAGTCGCGAGCAGCAACTATGAGGACAACACAAAATGGGGATCGAAGGTTAGGTGCCAGTTAGGATTAGTGTGCTTCTGGAGGTTTTAAACTAAAAAGCGTATTATTTTTTGCAGATTGGATTTCGTTATGGTACCGTGACAGAGGACACCTACACGAGCTTTCGACTTCATTGCGAAGGATGGAAGTCGATTCTTTGCAATCCGAAACGAGCTGCATTTCTTGGAGGTTCACCATCGAGTTTGAATGATAATCTAACCCAAATGAAACGATGGTACATGGGATTCCTCGATATATTCTTTAACAAATACTGCCCGATAACATATGGCATTCGATCAATGAATCCTCTCCAAGCTTTATGCTATACACACTACTCTCTTCGTTCGCTGTGGTCGATTCCAATCATCATCTACGCGTTCTTGCCTCAACTTTCGCTCATAAACTCCTTTGCGATATTCCCAAAGGTACAAAAATTTTCACTTCCGATGGTATTAATATTGTAAGATCTTACAATTGGTTGGGGAAGGGAACAAATATTGTCTTATAAGCGATTAAATACCTCCTTTATCGGACGCGTTTTAAAATCGTGAGTGCACATGTGAACAAAGCGGACAATATTTGGTATGGTCAGCCTGAGATGTTAAAAAAATCTTGAGAAAACAACTTTAATGTGAAGAAAAACTTGTGATTACAGGTTTCGGAAGGTGGGTTTTTCTTGTATGCATTTCTATTCCTTGGAGCTTACGGAAAAGATTTTCTTGATTTTGTTGTGTTCGCCGGAGGAACCATGCAAAGGTGGTGGAGCTACCAAAGAATGTGGTTAATCTGGGGTCTATCAAGCTGCCCATTTGCATTGCTCGAGTGGTCACTCAAATCTGTCGGCATATCGACAATCGGGTTCAATGTTACCTGCAAAATGATCGACGAAGAACAAAACAGTAGGTACGAACAAGGTTTGTTCGAATTTGGTGTCGAATCGGTCCTGTTTTTTCTGATTTCGGTGGCATCGTTGACCAATTTATTGTCGTTGGTGAAAGGAGTTACGGAGGTGTTTATGAATGGGAGATTGGAGGAGTTATTTGTGCAAATTTTGATATGTGGGTTTGGGGTGGTGAACAGTTGGCCAATATATGAAGGCATGTTTCTGAGGAGAGATGGAGGGAGGATGCCATTGAAGATTACCTTAGCATCAATGGCAACTGCAATGGTGATTTGCTTAGTGTCTCCTTTGGTTTTTTAAAGTTAAAGAGTTATATTTTGAGAGATGAAAGTACGACAAGAACCTTCATTCCATGTAGAAGTTGTTATGAAAACCCTAACAAGAATCTCAAAAAATAACTTTAATTATGGATGATCTTATGGTAACATCAAGATTTGACTTACAAAATCAAAACCAAAATCTTCATGGAGGAAAACCTAAATCAAAGAAATCCAAAACCCAATTCTTTATCTTCAAAAACCTAAAACCAAAACCCAATCGTTACGCAGAAGCATATGAACCTGAACCTAAAGCAGATCATGACCCAAAAAGCAGATATGAACCACCAAAATCATATATGAACCTGTGTCCCTGTTGATGTCATGAACTGAGCCAGAAAACCCTCTCCCTATCACCCTATGTTTCCTCGTAGTTGTCACGTATTGAACCCGATCGCGAAACCCCATCCCCTTGTGTCCCCATTGATGTCACGAACAGTGGTGGCTTTGGTGTTGTTGACCAAGGATGAAGATGACGATGGTGGTTTTGGTGTTTCGATGTAACCAAGGATGAAGATGGCGTTGGTGGTTTTGGTGTTTTAAAGAGTAAATTACATTTCTAGGTCCTTGTGGATTAAAAAGGATAATTTTTTAATAAGAAATTATCAAAATAGATAAAATTACTAAAATATCCTTCATTTAATTTGACTTTAAGTAAAAAAAGTTAATGGTTATTAGACTGAGGAACCAAACCGTTGTCAAATGTGAATGCAAAGGACCAAATTCAAAAAAATAAAGTTGATGGACAATATCCATTAAGAATTACAAACCAAAATGAATTTTACTCAATTTATTATTATCACCTCATATTATGTTTATAATATATATTAGTAATCTATACTATATTATAAAGTATTTGACAAAAACTCTTAAAACTATTTTTTATGTGTAAATTACTGTTTATTAATGCATATTACTTAAAACTCAAGATTACAAGTAGATTGTGCGTAAGTACAACTTATTAAAACTCAAATTTTAAATTCGTGCAACTAACTGTAGATAAACATTATCAAATACGATATAAACATCTCATTTTAAATATAAAAACTCTAAACTGTAATTAGGATAATCACTGACTTCTAACAGAATATTTAATTATTATATTTATAAAAAAATATGTTATTAAATCAATTATGAATTACTTCATTATTAAATACTAGAAGCGTACTCGCGCAATGCAGCGAAATACATCGTGATTTTAATATTTCATTTTATTGTAAATAAAATATATGTTTGAAGATATCATAAAATTTTGACAAAAATATATCGATATTAGTATCAAATTAACTATTTGAAATTTCTCATTTTTTTGTGTAATTTTTTTAATCAATTTTTTTATAATTTAATTTATGTACAATAACGAAGTAATTTATATCTGGTTTAATAATATAATGTTTT